GAGACAAGCTACAGTGGAGAAAACTGAGAGCCAAGCAGTGCAAGTGAACGTTACTAGCACACAACCCTTGAAGGTGTACACATGCTTACACAATTATGTACATGAGGAAGATGTGTGAACGTGAGTTCATGCACACGTGAGAACTATGTGCACATGTACAACATACAAAAAGTTTATGTTACGTGAATAGGTACAAATGCATGCATGGAAATATTTGTAAATGTGTGGCAGTTCAGTTACTTTTCAGATATCTTTGAGCAATGATCCTGAAGTAACGGCGGTATACCCTGCAATGATACAAAACAAAAATGAAAAGAAAACAAGGAAATGATTACATCAAAACATTCCATAGGAGGTAAGTTATTGGGCTGAGGAGATAGCCTGATGGATTAAGTGCTTGCCTGGCAAGCGCAAAGTCCTCAGTTTGATCACTGGGATCACCACCAACAAAAAGGGAAGTAAGTTATAAAGCATGTGGAATAACTTTCTGCTCAATATAATTACATTATGCTCAAAACTGCTCACTTTGGCATTTATTTTGCACCTTTTGTCACCTTGTTTTACTGATTCTCCTCTCATGATACCAGAATTATAAATATGACCAAGGGAAAACGGCTTGTCTTAGACACGGTCCATTTGTTTCTCTTTGGCTCTACAACACAAAGGGACAATTACACTGCACAAAGACATTCTCAACACAAAAAAAGAGTGATAAGACATAAGTAAGATCTTCTAAATTTATGAAAGTTGAGTTAACTTTTCTGTGTTTCTAAGTTTGTCATACTGCACTGACATACGGTCTGCACAAACAAAACGTGAAATAAAAAGACGAGGAGAATGGCCTTGTTGTTTCTCCCCTACCATTAGATCTGTAAATGGGCTATTTAAATGTTTCTAAGGGCCGGCCAAATAGCTCAGCGGATTACAGCACCTACAAGCGGTCACATGGACCTTAGCTTGATCCTGTAGCCTGCAGGGACGGCTCCACCCCCAGGGCACAGGGAGACCTCAATTGAGACTGGGCATGGTGGGGCGCTCCTGTAATCCCAGCCCTTGGGAGACTGTAAACAGTAGATCACTACAAGTCTGATCTAGTACTGAGACCCTGAACAACTGTAGGTCCTTCTGTAAACTCAAAAATACCCAAAATAAATAAATATAAATAACAAATCTTGTTTGTATGTATTTAGTACAGCGTCTTGCTGCACGGCTCAGAATCAGAGTGATCTTCCTGTCCCTGCCTCCCAGGGCTGGAAATACAGGTGTGCACCGCCACACTGGGGTTTGGTCACCCACGAGGTATACCCGGAGTTCCAGGCTGCCACAGCATGAAGGCATTGAACCCTGATCTTGGTCACACCAGGCCAGAGCTTGGACTTCCCAACTATCTTCTTGTCCACTTAAAATGGAATTTGTTTCCTTTCAAAATATTGAGAGCCGTTTTGGATATGAGCAGAAACTCTCTAAGCGCCCACTGTGATTCTGAGGTAATCTAGCAGTTGGCACCAGTGGAGCGGGGTGAGGAGAGGAGCTCTCTGACTTCTCCGAATCAGCCATGAGCAGGCAACGGATTATAACCACGTGAATGCAACGCCCTGCGCAGTCAAAACATAGAGTGTAAGCAAGAAACTTTTCATATTTCATGTTTTTGTGGTACCAGCGCTCCAACTCGGGACCTTGCGCCTGTGAGGCAGGGGCTTAAGCCACTTTGCAGTCTCCCTGGCCCGCGAATTTGTTTCTTAATGTCAACAGTAAAGTGCAGAGACACAGCCTCACAGTCGCCAGTGCAAATCGGATGCATGGTTGTCATCCTGAAGGAGAGGGTCCCACCGCTGCCCCTGAATTAAGTTTCCCTTAGATCCTAGAGAGGGAAGCCTAGCAGTAACATCTGTTGGAGAAAGTTTTAAAGCCAAATACTATTAATATTGTGC